AGAGAAATGTTAAGTCATGCATGGTGGTAAAAAAAAAAAGCTGCACAGTGGTAGTGTGTTTCTATTAGTTTTGTTTTCATTTTTGTTCAGAAAGTTTGATTTGATTTTGCAACATTTAGTGTGCACAGTTACAGCTAGTCACTGGGCAAGGCTTTTGTTATGAACGTTTGTAGTGTACACAAAGCCTGGCATATGCAGACTTCAGCTGTTTGAATGATATTGTATTCTTATTAAAATGCTCACTTGTTTTTTTTCACACTTCCTCCATGTGTGTGTTGAACAGTTATCTGGAACATGATGACTTGTATGGTGTGCATGAGCTTAATTTATTTAAGGATCTTTATTTTAAAACTGCAACCAAAGAAAATTAGATTAAATAATGGCCCAAATATGAACATTGCCTTCACTATGTGAAATAATTAGATATTTGTTTAACAACATTTCTTTAGAGTCACGTTTTATTATTATTTGTATTGTTTCACCTTCCATTACATTTTCTTATACTCGAATGTGTTCAGCTCTATTTTTGTGTTAACAAATGCTAAATAAAAAAAGATGGGTGCTTTCATATCTGAGATGTGTGTGTGTTGGGGGGGGGGGTCGGTGTGTATGTGTATGTGTGCTCCATACAAATATGAATCTAAATTGTGCTTTTGGATATGCAGGCTGCCTGAATATCTGTGAAGCATACATATCCATTGTATCTGTCACTAGCTATATGACAAGAGGTCAGCCCCTCAAGATCAAATATTTTTCTTACTAAATGACGGATTTATTAGACAAATAACTTTCCGTCTGCCTCTGAAGCCTCTGTGATTGAAATATACCCCTGTGTCAACAGCACCGCCTCTCAAACCGGGTCCCGGGCGATGGAGGGCTGCCACCGCGGATTACTGAGCAAATATAAGTGGGAAATGAGTGCAGATCTGGGGGATCTACACATCCCAGCGACGGTCTGACATTTCCGTCCAAAGGCCAACCTTCCAGCGCATTGTTGGATCAACGAAGCACCTCTGAGGGAGCTCTTATTTTTGTTTTAAGATACTGCAAAAGTAGAACAAATGTCAAAACAAGGACAAGAACCGACGCACTAATGTGCACCCTCCATTTCTCTTTTTACTCAACCTTAGTGTTGTATTTATAATGATCTAATCCATCTTAACCTGGGTTTCTAACAGCTGCGATTAGGGTAGGCCCACTCCCCTCCGCTCAGAGCTATAGTAAAAAGTCGTGCACTCGTAAATCTAGGCGCCTGCGTAACCATAACGTGTGGTGAAATCATTATTTGGCGACGTGGTGTCAGAGACTCTCTCATCTCGTCTGTCAGGAATCCAATTTCCTTTTATTTACATCCACGGTATAGATTAATTACTCCCCCAACTAGTAGCCTGGAGGAATTAAGTTATGAGATCCTTTGGTTCCTTGATTAATCCATCGCGGCCTATGCAAGGATCCGAGGGAGGAAGCAGAGATGATTGATGCGAGATCTTAAACATTGTTACATAATAGCCTAATAATAATATACATAATAGTTATACTGATTATGATGTAAATATTCTCATTTAAAGTAATTGTTATAGAAAACGTCTTTTGTTTTTGATGTGATCAATTTGGAATTTCAGGTCGTTCAAGGCTCAGATGGGGCACCTAAAGCATCGGATAGGACAAGAAAAGAGAGAGGGGGGTTGGGGGGGGGGTTACCTAAACGATGTAGACGTGAAACTGAGGGAAGGCCCTTACAGGCCCAGGCAATAACAATACATACGATCAGGCTGGGTCTCACTATTGATAGAGCTTTAAGGGTTATGATATCGGTGAAGTTCCTGATGAAATATCCCTCTGATTAATCGAGGACTCTGTCGTAACGGGCTGACATATGGTAGGCGAGGCAGCTGGGGACGGTACCTCCAGCATCCCCTACGGCCATTAACATATTAGAGGCTATTGTGCAGGCAGACAGTCCGACTTCATCCAGAGCCCTTGTGCAGAGAGACAGCACCCCAGAGCTGTTTGATATAGGCTTTCAATAATGCATTACTCTCCAACCCGCCAACGGAGCTGTTCCTGGTGCTGAAATTATTGCCATGTGGCGCGTGCGGTGCCGAGCGTGGAGTGTGTTCAGTGCCAGTGGTGTTGTGTTACTCTCGGTAGGTTGTGTTAGAAAGAGAAACTTGCAACTCATGAGATAAAAAAATAGATAGATAGATACAAAGATAGATATAAAGATAGATAGATATAGACTACACACACATGCAGATACAAACACGCTCACACAACTGCTACATAAAGGAATAAACACACTATTCTCAGCTGCTCTCTTAGCTGTGCGTATTTGCAACAACACGTTAAAACGTCAAAATTGATTTAGAATTAGCGATGTTAATAACCTAAGATTAAGTAAGTAAGCAGTTTACATATTTTCTCCAGGTCAGTCTGTTCTGCGATAACATAAAAATAAATAAGATAAGATGAAATATCCGGGCAAAATATTTGTGGGATACATTTGAAAAATGTTTCGTCATATTCCTCCCACTAATAATCTTAACATTGAATTTAAAGGTTTGACATTATTTATTTGAATATGTTCTTATTATAACAATGAACTATAACTTACCTTTATACAAATATTTTTGACAAATTGACATTGGGATCTAAATATACAATCCGTTTACATTCATGTATATCTACAGTATGCTAAACATTGAAGAAAGAAATCAGACTAAAATTATTTTACTCACGTTAAGGAATTTCTCACTCTTCAGTCCGTGTAGCCAATATCTAAAGAGGAGCAATAAACTTTCTCTGCTGCAAAACAGCGGCTTCCTTCATCCGCCTGCCTCCCCTGAAAACCCCCGATAGCTGTCTGAAAATATTGCATTTTATATCAGCAATTCGCGATTAATATTACATGTCCTGCAAAAAAAAATCCGTTTTATAAATTAAGCTGAAAGTGGAGCACCAACATATCTGGAAATATAGAGAGAATATAAATATTTGCAGCAGGCTAGAGGTCACACAGTGATCGTTTTTATTTAGAAATAAATGCTCTTTTTTCTTTAATTTCATCTCTCTCTTGTACACCCCCCCCCCTTTCTCTCCCCTTCTCCCTCTCTGTCGCTAAGTTATTCTGACTGCTGTTAAACTTCATTAAATGTTGATAGTCCCGTTTCGTCACAGCAAAAGGCGGTAACTTTATCCTGGTTAAGAATTCCAGACAAATAAATCCATGCTTCATTTAAAAGCCTATTCTGCTGTAGTTGAGGCTAAAGTGCAAACATTCAAAAAGATGGGCAACTAAAAATTACAACTTAAAAATGCAATGATCTCTTGTTATAATTATGAGATCAATAACATTGTTCTGTTGTAACTTTTAAACTAACATTCATTATATTTGAAAATTGTATTATTAGTATTATTATTCAGTTCGTGTTGTTATTAAAACATTACATATTATTTTCTTTGTTTAAATTAATTTGGCACAAAAATGTATTGTACAAATCCTTTCAGTTTAAAAATGTGACTGACCTGCAGTAATACTTCGTTTGACATTCCTACATTTGAAATGGTTTGCCTCCCAAAATAAGCAAATTCAGTTACCAGAAATAAATCCAACAATGTCCAAGCATTATTTCGATTTGTGAACGCTTTATCTAGAATCTAAAAATGCAGGAGAAAAAAGTAAACTTGTAAAATCAAACAAAACTAGAATCTAAAATAAAATAAACGTCTCAATTCGTATCGGTGGCCATAATAACAAGTTTAACCATCCACATTACAAAACTGTAATAATTATGTTCAGTGTGGGCCCAATCACAACCAGAAAGGCATCGTATTCTTTCTTCAATTTATTAGAAGATTGCTGGAACACACCTCCCTGTTGAATTTGGCTTACAGGATGAACAGTACCAATGAAAGTAAGAGAACAACAGAGGAGAGTGGAGAAGTTGTGAGACAGTTGGACTTTCTCCATGATGCACATGTCGCCGCAGTTTTGTAAACATACTTGTGCACAAAGTAAAATAATACTTACACAACGTTTCCTTAACAATTAACACGACAAACAACGTGGTGATCTTAATGTGAAAACAGGCATTTAACAGTGACTTACTCCATCCACAAAAGAGGGTTTAATCAGCAGACAGCTCTACTGTATGCAGTGATTCTGTTTCCAATGCATAGTGTTTGCACTGCAAACTGAAACACATGGAAGTTTAATTTTGTATATCTCCTTGATAAAGCAGACAGGCTCTCGTGCTCTCTGGATTCTTTTAAAACTCCTCATTGTGATGCCAGTGGTGTCAATAAACCCTATAATGTATTTCCACAGGAGCTGTAAGTGACAACGTGATGTCTGTATATACAAAACCATTTCCGATCTATAAACCTAAAGGGTCTTTTGTGCAAATTCAAAATAAATATATCTCTGGATGTGACAGCCTATAGAGGCTAAATTACTGCCCATGAATTAAGATTTCATGCAGGCCTAAACATTTGTTTCGTTCGCCATAGAAAGTTTGCAACTAAATTTGAGTTTATAGCAGCCTCCAAATGAGAATAAATTAACACATGAATAAATTAACAGATTCATGAATTATTCTATAACAACAACGACAAAAATCAAACCAAAACACAGTTCAACAATCAATGAGGTAATTCGTAAATGGCTATACTTCAAATAATAGGCCTATACGGAGAAAATAACTCGCTATGTATCAAGCAAATTACCTTTTTCCACATGTTTTAAAAGGCAATGTTGACGTCGCTAAACCTTCTCCTCGAAACAACTGAGAGAAACTTGTGTAATCTGTTATTTGCATACTTCACATTCACCAATAACGTGAAAATAAAAAAGATATATGAAGCCTCGTAAAATGGGTATCTAAAGCCCATTGTGCACCAACGTGTAAAATCGCTGGACACAAAAGACTGAAAATGGTGTCTTTAGTGTCCCTTGGTCCCCAAATTCAGTCACACAACTTTTTTTTCTTTTTCTTTGCCCATCAGTGAGAAGCGGAAAATTTCAACCTCTTCTGCTTCTGTCTTTGGTTACAAAACCACACTCGCACCACATTTTTTTTCAGGTCCAACTTTTCTGCTATAGCTGCTATTTTCTCGGACGACGGTCGAGGCTGTACGGCGAAGTAAGCCTCCAAAGACCGCTTTTCCGGGGCCGCTATCGAGGTCCTCTTGCGTTTCTTTTCCCCTCCGCTGAAAATGTCAGGTTTGTTCATTTTCTCCCTCTGGGCCCCCTCGGCCTCCTCGAGCCAGGCCTGGAGGATAGGTTTGAGAGCAATCATGTTGTTGTGGGACAGAGTTAACGACTCAAATCGACAAATTGTACTTTGGCTCAGTGATCCCACGCCGGGGATTTTGAGATTAGCCAGAGCGCCTCCCACGTCCGCCTGGGTCACCCCCAGTTTGATCCTGCGCTGCTTGAAGCGCTCCGCAAAAGCCTCCAGCTCCCTTGGGTCTGTGTCCGAATCATTGATGCAGGGCAGTCCGGCGTTAGTGAGTCCTGGGCCGCCTTGACCCCCTCCGTGACAGCCCGGTAAGAGCCCGTGGTGGGTGAGAGGCGAGTTCATGCTCATAGCCTGGTGGGAGAGGTGGCTCAAGCCGTGCATGTGAGAGTGCGGATGGGCAGAGGAGGTGGAGATGAGTCCTCCGCCACCACCTCCGCCGCCTCCGCCTCCGCCTCCGCCGCCTCCACCGCCGGAACCGTCGTGCGCCCCGGACATCAGGGAGAGGGACGGCGAGGAGATGTGGTCCATGATGTCCTGCTCCAAGTTCGGATGGTGGTGGTGATGATGGTGGTGGTGATGGTGGGCCAGTGGCACCGTGGAATTAGAAGGGCATGGCACCGTTGCCATCGTGTGGTAGGTGGCGTCGGGCTTGAACGGGTGCTGCTTGCCCTGGGACACGGCGATATCCACGGCCGCCAAAGCCTCTGCCCGGGCCAGCAGGGTCTCATCCAGGCTCGCGAAGATGTTATTCTGCAGCTGCAAAGGAGGAAATTAGGATCAAAAGGAGAATAAAGGGGTTTTAAATTGGTCGGGTAAAATAAAAAGACATGGAGAAAAAAAAAAAGGGAACACGTCAGATAAAAGAAAAACATTTCAAAATGGATCTGTCAATCGGGACTTTTGGCGACACATAACACAACCGGAGTATTCCCTTTGAAGCGGAAAGTCATACACATTAATACAAAAACAGTAAAGCCGACTTTGCGTGAGCATGCTTTCAAAAAGAAGAACCTTCGAGTGATAGCCGCGGAGAACATGAAAAAACATTAAGTGCGCGTCTTGGCAGAATGTGCCTTGGAGCGCCTCTTGTTATTACGCACAAACAGCAATCAGCGTTGCATGCACTTTAGTCAAGGAAAAGGACAAAGTCGAAGTTATTTGGGATATTATTTACCTGTGGAGTGTGTAGACAGGCTCTCCTTATAGCTTCCGAGCTGGAATGCAAAGTGGTATACTTGTGCTCGGGTAAAGAGGGATGCATGGCGAAGTGCGGCTGTTTGCTGTTCATGGACATCATCTTGGCGAGCTTCTCCAATTAAAGTGCACGGGAAGAAGGGGGAAAAGCTGCTACAAAAGCAGGAAAATAGTCATAGATACACAGTGGTCCTTTGCCTATCCAGTAATGATGCAGTATAGTTCGCTGTGTAGTGCGCCGAGTGCAGCCTTGAGCCCGGAGATCACAGAGATGCCTGCAGTCTCTCAGACGCACTTATCTGTCTACTGTTTCCCACTGCTGGGGATGAGAGAGGCTCTTACACCTGAGCGCCTCAGATCTCGTCAAGCCCGTGCTCGGCTGCTCTCGCGAGACATAAACTGGCAGAGCAGTGAACAGGCTGACAGATAAAAACTGCTCACAGGGCAGGCTGTAACATCTGGAGACTAGACGCGTGCGTTTTTAAAGGGCTCACTCCAATCCATCCAGACACCTTTTTCTTTACTTAGAGGCCGGGAACCATTGGCATAACGCTGTGGATTTAAATTGCCATGCAATTTACATTGGTCTTTATCTCTCTGGGTTGGAAATGTTGTTTTACTATAAAACTTTTTTTTTAAAAATGCAATAAAATCTACATCAGTGCATATCGTGGAACAAATATTATTACTTTGTACTAACTTTATTTTCACAATTTATTTTCAGTTTTTTCACACCAATTCCTGATGTGTAAATGTGTAGGAGACACGCTTTGTCAGCATGCTCTGTTCTCAGCCCACTGTCATCTTAACCCTTGGTAGTAATGAGACCGCCGTCCTATCATTAAAGCCCATCATCGCCAGATGAGCACTAAACAAATTGATTTAATACACCAGCGTAACCTTGTACACAGTCTTTACCTTAATTAATTAATCCCAATGAATTAACACTTCATTTATTCAAACCACAACGGTTACCCAATTAAAATTTCATGCAGCGATTAGAGGTATGTGAAATATACATGATATCGTTACATTTGCATAATAAATAAGTCGCTTTCTGCTAGAATGGAATGACTGTGCGTGTGAGGTCTCTAATGTGTGTCGTTATAGTCTACAACACACTTTAATCGGCATGAACAGGCTATTCGTTTTTCACTTGTATTAGCAGATTCATAATTGTTACCATTCAATGGAATGCATATCATCAAAAACACTAACACCAAAGATACAATTATGAAAAAGTCCACTAAATATGAATCCCAAATGCCACCAGATATCACAATAATAAAACTTATCTCAAAATACAAGCCAATATAGCCTATGTAAATCATCAAGACTGAGTAGACCTGAATCATGTGATCAAGGCACTGCAGGAAAGAAAAATGCACACAATGTTTCTCCTTGCATTACTTATTTATTTCCACACACACTCTTACATTGCAATATTTATTTCAAAATATCAGTTTTTCATAATAGTCACGTTCATCAGTCTTCAGTATTGCATGTAAAACATGAGTACCATGTTTACTAAATAGCTTAAACTGACAAACACCGGTAGGCTGAAAGTGTTTGAAAATTGTTTTGGCCCCAAAACGGGTGCACTACAGTATAACAAATAACAGCACAGAGGTGTTTGTCAGATTAAAACACAGACAGATTCTCAGACTGTACAGGTTGACCTGTCACTGAGACCTAAAAAGTAGACTACAAGATAAACTATCTGACAAATCTGAATTATTTTTGTTCTAAATCCTACAAATAGCAACAGACAAAATGACCAAATCTTACACGAGAGGATCATATTCAGGAATTTATTCTGCAGCACCACAGTGGAGTTATTTCTTCCAGCTGTGTGTGGATGTGAAGCCAAACACACACTCACAGGTTCTGGTTTTACCCTTTACATGAGCTTAGAAAGTTTTGTGGGACTACTTGAGTTAAAGGGACTGTGAGACTTCCTCTTGGTTGGCTGGCTGATAAGCAGTGCGTGTCTGTTTGTTGTGTTCACAGGCTTACTCATGGAGGAGGAGGAGGAGGAGGAGGTGGGGTTAAGATGGTCATGGTCTTGGCTTGCTGAACTGAGAGAGCCAGAGGGACCGGCCTTACCGTCTTCCAGCGAATCAAACAGCAAATCAAAGGACAGCTCGTCAGTCTGGGAGGACCCTCCGTGCCCCGTACTGTCAGGGACGTTGGCATCGCTCTCCCTACAGGAATCCAGTGCAGCAAAGCTCTCCTCTGCGATGCCTTTTAGATCCTCTTTGTCATTCAAGGTCCCTCCCATGTTATGTGGTGGGGAGCTCTTCTGGTCACACTGTGCCGCAGGTTTTCCACCATGGCTTGAGGAGACATCAGAGCAGGGTTGTGGTTCTGGGACGAGGGTGTTGTCCAAGTCTCCGGGAGTGGAGGAAGCCAATGAGAGCTGTGATCCTCGGCTGCTGGAGCTCTCTCCATCCAACATCATGCAGTCCAACTCTGAGATTTTGTCCAGGTAAGCTGCATCCATGGAGGAGTCACTGAACGTCTCAAGACCCTTGGGCTCGTCCGTCACCAGTGTACTGGAAGTGGCTCCTAAAGCTGAGCTCTCTAAACTTGGAGATGACCCGTCTTCAGGTTTAGATCCCTGCCAGGCGCCCCAGAAGACAGACTTGGAGGGTTCAACGTCAGTGCTTGTGGGTAATTTATCGAGGCTGCTGAATTGGTTCTCCATGGTGCTGCCACTCTTGCCAGGACTTGGCAGTTCTTCAAAATCCAGCCTCCTCAGATGAGACGCAGGTTTGAATGCCACTTTCTTTTCACGGACACCAGGGCTTCTCAGAGTCAGGGAGCGGAAGGCCGAGGACGGAGTGGCGGGCAAAGGTTCAGAGGAGGTGCTTTTCGAGTCCACGTTGTTTTTCTGGTCTCTTGTCAGACTCTTTTTAAGCTCTTTGTAATCGGCAGATGGCATGAACATTGAAGTGTGATTTCTAACAAATGTTCCACCTTCTGCCAATGGATTGCTGCAGATGGACTCTCTCTCATTGTCACTCAAGCTCCTCATCATCATGTTGATTTTGTGTTGCTGTGTCAGCGGGTCCGCCTCAGCCGTACTGTTCCCTTCAAGACGTCTCTCCTCAGATATTTTGAGCCGAGACTCCAGGTTTTTGATGTACAGGTCGCCGTGCTCCAGAGCCATCGTCAGGTGGTCCACATCCCGATCATTCTGCTGGATTGTAGCTTCCAGTGCTGCTACTGTACTACGACCAAACCTGGGGACAGATTACTTTGTGTCGTTAAATTGTTCAAGCATTATAATGACAAAAAAGCCAAAAAACATTTAGCTGTGCTTCACAGAGCAATTGAAACTTAGCAACATAGTTCATTTGTAAAGAAAGGAAAACCAAAATGTAAATAAAAATGGTCTTTGTCTTTTGGAACGTCATTATGGAAAGTGCTCTGATTTATTTTAATTTGATAGAGGGACACAATCAAAATCCTACATGTATTACCGATTTAGCCTGGAGAAACTGAACTTAAATTGATTCAATTAACCATTATAATGAAAAGTCAAAAGCATGCATGTATCATGAAAACCAAAAAGATGCTTACTTCTGAGGAGATCTGCTCACGACCTCTGCTTTCAATCTCATGTTCTCTTGTACAAGGTCGACGTTTTGAAACCGCAACGCCCTATTTGCCTGAGGATAGTAAAGTAACACATTTGCACTATGTTAAAAAGGATTCCACAACAAACAATGATTTATACTAAATACAGTAGCATCAAGTAGGCTCATATTCTTTCTGTTTTTATATTAAAATATGTTAATGTCTATAATATTAATAATGTGTCTATATTTTGTGCATATAACATGATGTAGCAGAATGACAACCACATGTTAGAGGGTTCATCTATCAGGATTAATATATATGGGTATCAATTAGGGTTGCAAAATTCCGGGAATTTTCAAAGATGGAAACTTTCCACTGGAATAAACGGGAATTCATGGGAATAAACTGGGAATTTTCTAAATTGAAGGTTGGCTCTTCATAGGGAACTTAAATATAGTTGGGGAAAGTATATTTTAGCATAATCTTGACTAAAACAAACAGATGCCATTCAAGTACACTTGAATATCCATGCCATAGCACACTGCTTACTGCATGGCTATCGAGACCACACAAAGGTTCGCAACAGGCTCACAAATGTGAGAGTGGAAAAACTGGTTGGCATTCGGGCAAACCTAAGGCTCTTTGAGCCTGACACAGAGCCATCCTCAACAAGGCTGGACAGTGACACTGAAGACTCAGAGTTGGATGTTGATGAGGCCCAGGAAGAGCCCATTGACTGAAAGGGTTTAGCAAAAATGCAGAGGATCGCTTGAAGGAAGATGTGCATGTTTAATGGGACTTTTTGGAGGGAGAGGGCTCTTTTCATTTAACATTTTGAATGGGACTTTGTGGGGATGTTTGGATGGGGGGTGCATTTTTGTTCATTTTTTAATGAGTGGGGTTGGGGGGGATGAGTAACATTTAACTCAACATTCCTGTTTTCGTTCTTCAATGAAACAAATAATTGTTCAATAAAATAATTAAAACTTGTTCTGTTCTACTTAAAAAAAAAAAGATTAAAAAAATGTATCTGTTGAAATGTCATGTTTTTTTGTTTAATTTTGCATCGAATATTTCCAAAATTCCCCAGCTTAACTTTCCATGGAAACTTTCTGGAAATTTACCGGAAACTTTCCACCCCTTTGCAACCCTAGTATCAATAGAACATATCGATTATTATAGTTCACATACCTCCTTTAGCTTATCCATGTCCTGCTTTACTTCATCACAAACATTGGTGGCAGCTTGCAGCTTGTTGGTCCATTCTTCCAGGACATAGGGCTCAACTTTTTTGTCATCCATTTGCACCGTTTTAATGCTGCAGGGATCCAAAGCAGTCTTCAGTTGTGACTCCAGATTTTGATTTTTTGTCTTCAACTCCTTGTTTTCTATGTAGAGCCCTTCCATTTCCTCCTGATAGAAAATAGAATTGTGTAACAAAAACAGTTCAAAAAGAATCACTGTGGGTCTTTTGTTGTAACTTGAAACAATATTTTATAGAAACTGCTAATTTGTACC